CTCGATCGATGAGAATTTTTCATCGGCTTACCAGCTGTATAAATTTTTGTTTTCAGTACGGATGCAACATTTTCCAACGACGCGATATCGTATCTAGGTAAAAACGGCGATTTTAACGCGAGCATAACAGTAAATGCAGTATGATTTATGCTCGCCAACGTGTGACATAAATTCACAACTGATCCGTGCCCAAGTGCGACTCGTCCAGTCAATATCGGCTTAAAAAAGGAAAATATTTTCGATTACTGCTCCTTTGAATTCTTTCACTCTGTCCGAGTCTCGTCCCTGTCGATGCTCATTTGAACTCATTGAAACGAGTCACGTGCCAAAATAAACGTCATCGAGGACCATCCGACCGAAGAATCGAACAAATTTGACTACGTTCTACTTTAAATTCATTCGATATACATAACAATGCACCTGTCGCTTCGAACGTTAATGAATTCTTCATTGAACGTAATTTTCCATCAAGTTTTACAAAAAAAGAAAAATGACTAAAACTCAAACGTGTAAATTAATTTTTGTCTATCTTCTTGGAATATCATCAAAATTTTATAGGTTCTATTGGCCTATTTCGAATTGCAAATATCTCTAAAATTATGCGTCAAACTTTTCTTCTAACCGATGAAATTGTAAGACAATGAAACGGAGGCGACCAGAAGGAAAACGAGACGCAAGTAGAAAAACGTGAAATCGATCAATTTGCCTCCTTGTTATTCATCGATTAGAAAGAAAGCGGTATTAAGGCGGAGAAATTACGATCGCAAAGCGATAAAACAGGCCGCGCAATGAGAACGAATATTCGCTCTGATTAAGGAAGGAAATTACGATCGCGGGAAGATAAAATGGGTGGAGATGAGAACGAATGCGACTTGGAATGAGAGGAAATTGTTCTTTAGCTCTTTGAGATACAAAGCTCGACGCGGGTCTGATATGAAAACTACCGATAGCCTTGTTTATTCGGCAGAAAAATTGCGTTCGATCATTTACTTTCAATATGCTATCGATCAAATTAACACGGAATAACAAGATTGTTTCCCCTACTCTCTTTTAAATGTATTTCACAGATAAGGCCGTTTCATAGATGATTACGAAAGCAGATTTAAACGAAGAATATTATTGCCATTGTCGAAATGACGGTGAGCGTAACGTAACACAGTTTTCTCGTTCACATTCAACAACTTTTCCATCGGAATAATCTTATCTCGGATCTACATAAATTTCCTCAAGTATAGTTAAGTACGTAAATTACTCTCTTTCCTTTTTTCTCTGTCTCTCGAATGGAAGCGTAGATGTACACTGTGTATTCTTCTTCTCCTTTTCCGGATATATTAACCGTGAATCGCAAACAGAATGCTAATTATAAGACAGGGGATAAAATGGTGCCGATTATCGTTCCTTGATCGGTCATTCGAGACGCGAACGCTCGTTTCAGCGACGTAAGCATGGTACTTTAAACAAAAGCCACCCGTTTGCTATCGTATTATCGGCCTCTGGCTCTTCACTTTTTTTCCACTAATTGAAACTTCCCTAATTGCCGGCGAGATTCCGCGGAAGTATCGTTCGCTCGATCTTCTCGGTCGTGTTTGTTATCTATCGAAAAGGAATTGACCTTTGTTGGCGATCAACCGCGATCTTCGCTACAAAAAAAGCTCCTTTCAACGAAAAATTTTTCCAAGATAAATTTGAGTTCGAAAGATGGCTTGGACGAAGTTTAAATTTATAATAGGAGTCAAGTTAAACACGATATTTTCCGCGGTTAAAGAGAGAAGGAATACGTGAATAATTTAATTTTGACGTACTTCATTCGCTGATGGAACCGAGAACAAGTTTCCGGTTTTAGCGAAACTTCACTCGACCATAAGTTTTCATTCCATATAGCGGTGCGCGAATCGTCGGCTTTTTTTAAGTTTCGCAGGGATGAAAATTTATTTGCCAACTTCCTTATGCTCGAACGCGGAATAAGGCTACTCTGTCGCGTTAATTTTTGCAAACGCGAGTGAACCGCGTATAATCATTAAACACATAATGTATAAGGTATTTTAAAAATGTAGATATAACTTCTTATGTCAAAATAAGAAAGATTTATACAAACATATCCAATATTCTGTACTAAAATTATCTAGCTAAAAATGATTTAATGTTTTATTAATAGCCTCACTATTTATATCGCAATCTTCTTTTTTAACACATAAAAGTTGCACTAAAACTTTTGTCCAATGCTTTTGAAACATTTGGTAGCCTCGTCGGGAATAAACTAGGAAAAATTTGGTTTCCGGTGGCTCGTTTGGCGGCGAGATTCATAAATTACTGTGGAACCTTTGACCGGAATAAAAAGTGTAAGCGGTAGGTTACACGTGAAATCCCGAAACGGAAGTTTAACTAAGGCCGACAAGAGGTGCAGGTGTATGGTTTTAAGTTGAAAGTGATCGCTTCAAAGGGAATCTTCCACCGTCTATGTGATAATTTTCCCGTTAGGACGTCGTGAGTTAAAACGACTCTACTTATAGTAGAACGTAATATTCGCGTAACGGTTTATTTGCATAATCGAAAAAAGAAAGCAACGAGGGGAAGCCTTCAAAAGACGCTTCTAAATAGGGAACGCAATCTTCTGTCGGTTGCTTCGAATGCTACGTTATTAACGCGCCATCTTATGGCTGGCTACAACACATTCTTAAGATTGAGAAAATACCAGGCGTCCTAGCCTTGTAGCTGCACTTCGAATTTCTACTTACAATTCAAGATCATTCGTGGAATAAGCTTTAATTAAATCGCGTTTCTCTCTTTCTGCGCGAAATTAGAAGCTTGTCCTCTGTTTATTAAGAGAAGATCGTGTTCGTATGGTCACTGTTTAAGCTGAACGAGGATATCACACAGATTCTTAGGAAATAAGAATTTGCAATTTTAGAGCTAGGACGGAATGGTTTCGTTTAGTTTCGTCGACGTTAACTTTTTTACATTTCATTTCATTTTTTCTATTTTTATTTTCGTGCAGGAGCATTTCAACTGAATTTAATTTGTTCATAGTTTAGACTTTATTTTTTATTTTATTTTTTCTAATTTATACTCTGTACAATATTGCCGCAATAAATTTCGTCAGAAATCGATGAGAGCTTCTCACGCGCGTTAACGGATCATTAAGGTCCACAATTTGGGTTTCATACCGAATCGATGAAAATGAGTAGGTAATATTTTAAGCGACAGCCTGCAGTAAGCTATAACTATTTATCGACTATTAATTATTTAATATTCGAAATTCTACCTTTGCTCTACCAATATCCGCTTGCTTTATTTTCTTGCATCTAAACGTCTAATTCTTTAAATAATTCTCCATGAACTCTTCGAAATTTTTCTAACCTCATAATCCTATTTTATCGTATTTTCTATTCGATAAAAGCAGTGCTTTTAAACTAGATACGATGATTATTGCAAGAAAATAATCGTATCTCGAGTTCAACACTTTGATTCAACTGAAATCGAATTTCGACTACTGCGCCTTTCGATAAGAGCTACTTTTCGATTAGTAGGAAACACGAAAAGTTCGCACGGAAATCCACTCGGTTGTTTCATTTTATCCCCTGTTATCGATCATTCCCACTAAACTTACGTATGTCGTGTGTTTCCTCTTTGGACACGAAGAAAGATGAAAACTAAACATTTACTTTTGGAACACGAAAGGTAGATCCAACTTCTCCAACATCTAAACGCGAGATTTATGAACTTATCGTTGCCAGTTTGTATTCGTAAAAATCTTCATTCATTACTCGGATTCGAGATAATCTCGCTTGCCCAGTATTGATTAAAAGTTTTAATCACAATACCAAGATAAAAGTAATTATAAAAAGAGGATAATATACAAACATATGGAGAATTTTGAACTTTAATTTAAAGAGATATAAAAAAATAATCTCTTAGGACTTTTGATTATCAAATATTTTTATTCACTTACGAATCTATTAATTGGAATTCTTTGTTTTAAACAGAGAGACAACGTCTGAGTGATTTATTAAATTTTCCACTCCTCTTTATTTCGAAATTCAACATCAATATTTTTTTTTAAATCGTAAGCAACAACCTCGTGTCACACTGGAAACCTGCACCTGTCGGTGAACTCACAAAAAGGTCTGTTCCATTTTTTTTCCCCCGAAAACACGTTGCATAGCCCCAAATTATTGGAGCGACGAGAAAACTAACTGACCGAACGCATATTGAACGCTACCAAACGTCAGCTCCAAAACAGAATTTATGTTCCTACAAAATGACAAATAATTCACGGCCAGCCCGGTCACATTGTGAAAAACCAGGCTCGTATTGAGACCATAATATAGGGTTTAATGTGAAAGAAAAATATATCTGTTTGTAAAACGGCACATTGCGATCGAAAATGATGCTATTTTTCGTTCCAGTGGGACGGGAAATTGTACTGTCACTTAGAACGAAATTAGGATTTCTTTCACGTTCTTATGGAGATTCGAAACTCACATAGAGACACCTGTTCGTATTAAACGACGTCAAGTATCACGCTCAAGACAGTCTTACCTATCTTACAAAATATTTCAATCATATTTTAATAATGAAATTTTCTATTTATTACTCTACATTCATATTAATTACGATAAAGTGTCTTCATCGTTGCAAAACGACAACGTTTCGCAAATCCGGAATTCAAAATTAGTCAAACCGATAACAAGAACCCAGAACAGATTATTTCTTGATCCGTCACTAGATAAATCCATCGCTAAAAATATACAATGTATTATGAACTCGTGAATCACCTAGTATCATCATTTTCAAAGATACCATTTAATCAACGATCACTCTTTCCAATCAGATACGACGATTTCTAAAATTAATCACAAATGTGGTGTCACAGAGACGATTGGTATTTAAAAAATTCAGAAAACAACGATTTGTCTCAAAACACTTCAACTACATTAAAGTAAAAAGGAGAAGCTTATATCAGAGGGAGAAAGATAAAAACACGCACTATTGGTACTCACCTCAGCCGATGGGCCGAGCCGGGAACTTTCAAACGGAACTGGGAAAATTCGACGAAACAAGCACCAGTGATCGGAGAAAAAAGAAACACGTTCGTTTTCAACTGTCGCGACGATTGTCACGTAAAAAAAACCGAGTTTGATCTAGGATCGACACACGAAACTAAGGCGGGAGCTTCTCGCGATTCAACCAGTTGGAGCAGTGAACAGATACAACACATACGGCACGAGGCGCGCGAAGCGACTGAGCCTCTTCCGAGCGGCGGAGTCGCTGCAGACCAGCCGACCTCTGCCGAATCGGACGAATGGGTATCGTTCGTGCGAGATCGTAAGGATTCAGCGCGTCCACGTTGCAAAACCACGCTACTTTACGCGCCCGCGAAATAATCGTGCCACCGACGTTGAGTAGTCAACATGGTTCCACGCGTCCACGCGCGACTTCTGTCAAACGATGCGGTTGCTCGGCCTGAGTATTGTTAGCGACGTGCGACGTAAGTATCACCGTGCACCAAGAAAGATCAGATACCGAGGCGAGCCAAGCCTTGGCACGTCCGGTGTCGCTGATAAGTTGTTGAATTAAATCTACGTATCGCGAGAGTATTTAATAAATTTTAGGCGATTCTCTGGTAACACGAAAAGGATACTTAGGAATGCTGAGTAGAAACTTGGTAAAATTTGATTTCGCAGGATTTAATTGAAAGATTTTTGACATTTTCGGTGATTCGTAAGATGGAAAGGATATTTAGAAATGCTGAGCAGCGAAATACTTTGGCTGATGGAAAAATCTGATTTCATAGGATTGAGTTAAAAGGTTTGTGAGCTTCTGGCTGATTTTTAAGGGCGGATGGATATTTAGGGATGTTGAAATTTCGAAAAGTGTTGAGAAGCTTGATAACATTTGTTTCTATGGGACTGATTACGAGTTGAAGTTTCCGACGAGAAAATTCGAGATTCTTTTCAAAATTGGTATTGCCAAGGTGTCTGAGTAAGGTGTTGAATTTTAGATAAATCTAGGGTTTTGAGTAGGACATTGGAAAAGTTCATGTTTTAAACATTAAGTTGATACAATAAGACAACTTGATAAAAGGATTCAGAGTATCTATACGTAAAAAGCTACTAACAGAAAGAACTCGAACCAATTGATAAGCTATGACTGGTAAAACGCGCCAATTTTCGACTTGGGATTTTAATAATTTGAGATTTTAGGCAGTATATTATTATATACTATTATATATTGTTATATAGTACCATATTATTATACCATAAATCTTAACAGTACGCTTTATCTTCTTCTTTTATCGAAGATGATATTTAAAAATCCTGAATAGAGCTTTGTCTGAAATCGAAAGAAGTAAAGTATTAAATAATATAGCAACGAGGTAATTAATTTGATAAGAGGATTTGAGACATCTATACATAGAGATCTGAAATGAGTGAGACAACTAATAATTCTAATCCGTGCTGTTAAGATCCGTATATATTTAGATAGATAAGATCGTTGTGATAGTTAGTAATGTTAAATATTACTTTGATAAAGTTTGCTTTCGAGAAATCGTGTCGTGATTATAACGAGGTACATAAATTAGGAAGTAACGGTACGCGAAATGTTGTCGATATGACAAATTTAAGCTACTTTTAGCTATGTATGTAGGTATGATAATGCAAATAAAGCTGGACTTTGTTAAATTACTGTTATTTGATTAAAATATGTTTGTACAATTAATTGCACCGTATTTTGTGGACGAAGTTACGATTATTAATTTATAACGACAAGTAGAAATTAATGCAATAAACAAATACGTTCGCAAGAGATAACAGTTTCAGAATGAAATATCTGTTTCAACATACGTATCGTCTCGATAACGGTAACTAGCACTCGTTTTTCAATTTGCCTTGAATTTATATTTTAAAAATTGCCTTTTCCGTGCTCGCGCCAACACACGTGTGCTAAATATCGATTATTCTCATATGAATATTTTCCCTGGCGATTCACAAGTGTCATCAGCATACACAACCGTGGAAATGAATACATTATTATTTATACAGGTCTCGTCCGTTGAAAAGAAAGTTTTCATGGGAAATCACTGGAAGTTTTAAAGTCTGTCACGACTGTACTGGTTCTTCGGCGAAGGTTTACCAGCTACTTTTCTAATTACACAGCCAGCCCTCAATGACCACAGATGTCTTCAAGTTTATGGGGTCATGTCGAAAGGAGGACTCGATGGAATTCATCGGCTCTCATTGGAATGTGGTAAAGGCCGGAATGAAGGTCGAATAAGTCTCTCAACCGGTTGTCGCAATCTCCAGCTGGTCATGTTTCCAGTCTAATGGAGTTAGTAAGTGCATGCAAATCTTCGAACTGTGTTTTAAAGTGATGACAAATTTGAATAAAATCGCGTGACAAATACCTTAGAAAATGGATTAGCTAAATGGAACGTTTAAATGCTCTCTTTTCTTACTTTGAAACAGAAACGATCGCACTAATTGCAAAGTAAATTATCCTATTCATCAGGGAGTATTATACAAACCTTCTGATTTCAAAATTTGAAAATTTACTTGTTAAATTGGAAGTGCAGAGATAGCGACAAAATTTCCAGTTTGAGAAAACTGTAGATGAAGCTAAATTTCAATATACTATATAAGTAGCCATATCTTTTTAAATTAACGAGAATGAATGTTTGATGAAATTTTAATGATAAAACTCGGGAAACTTCTTATTTTCTCGAGGAGTTGTTAGTTTACTTATTATAAAATTATTAATTGGTGATACTAAGCAGATCGTTTTTTCCTGCTTTTAAAACTCCTCAAAGGAGATTCCTTCGGACAATTATCGATTTCCCTTCGGGAACTTGTCAGTGTCTTTAACGTTAAAACTTCCTTATTTTATTGAGACGACGTCGAGAATACGCGATTATAAGTTTTAAACGAAAGTTTCACCGTGACTCCTGTCGAAATGCAGAAATCGGGGGCAATCTACGCCGGCGTCGACCCACTTGCACCTAAAATTTATTACTCGCATCTGAACCCTATCATCCTCGATCTGTGAAATAGCTTTTCTTCTTTCTTGCGATCCTTATCTCCGTCTGTACCGGCTACGTCAGCATTTTCTGTCTGACAATCTTATTTATCTCAACACTACGGTTACACTTTGTCGCCGCAGTAACAATACCGCAACGATTAATGCGTATAATATCTTAAATTCAGTAAATATATAGCCTCCTCAGTCGAAACAATTCTTTGCACTCTTCGAAAAACTGTCGCTTTCAGAGTAAGAGAAGAAAGCTGTGCTACATTTATTAAATTAATATAGTTTTATTTTACTTGTTGCGATAACGAACATATACTGATAAATATGAGGAAAATATAACAATTATATTTAACAGACTAACATTTTTAAAGTAAAAAGAAAACAAATTACCAATCTAAAAATATCAGGTGATATTCCAGTTACACATTGTTAGGATATTAGATATAGATCACATTTTACGTAGAAATTAAAAAGGATAAAAAATTAATATTCTTAGCGGTAACAAATTACATAAATTAGAGAGGAATTTTTACTGAGCATTTCTTAAAAAACTTGTTTCAGCCGGTTTGTTATGCAAACGAGCAGGGGTTTTGTATAGTCGGCTCGTATTGGAAGCTCCCTTGCGAATCAGTCTGAAAACACTTGCTCGAACAGAACGAACTGTCAAGCGAAGCACGTATGTCCCCTAATTACACGCACGGGACGCGTGCATACGCCATTTCGAACAAGTCCGAGGCTCTGGTACATCGGTTCGTTACGCACCGGATCGAGCTACAATTTACGTAGTCGTTTACCATGTTCCAGCACGCATGCACGCGTTAATCGTGACTTATTCCAATTCTTCAATTGTCCTCGTGTCAACGCTGCAAATCTGTTTCGTTTAGATCTATTCTTTTATCGCCATTCCATCGAAAAAGAGAAATCAAAAATCAAATTCGAAGCTAAAATATAATACGTAGAAATTACTTGCTGAATTAAGATTTATTTTCAATGATCGTATTAAGTTTCCAGTTAAATCTATATACATTTTCCAACGGTTATGTAAATTCATTCTTCCGAATTTGTAAATATCGTTATCCCTAGTTCTTGTTCGGTGTGCTTCTTTAGTGATTCTGTAGTTTTCTCGTTAGATTTCAATTTTCAAAGTCAATATTAATTTGTACTAATATTTGCGTGAGATATAAATTCCTAATTTATTATAATTCCTTTGTTATTTTAATCGCTATTTTAGACACAGACAATGTGGTATTTCTAACATTTACTTTCCATTCACGATATCCACCTACCAATTTAAAATCATGAAGAAGCATTCCGGATGCATCAATCCAGTGACTGATTTTTCGTATAATTTTTCGATGACGTAGATTCCAATTAAAAATCAGTTCGCTGTACGTATATTTAACGGGAGGAAAGTGAGATCGGATAAAAGAAAGTTTGTTACGCATAAGCGTGATATCCAGTGTATCGCCTGTTGTTCTTTTCACCGTGACCACTTTCTTCTGTTTAATTTGAGTGTCACGCCTTTGAGCACCGCGTCAGTCGATGTAATAACTCGAACACCGGGAAGATGTGCTTACCTCCGCGTAATTATTAGAAGTTGTTAACAGAAGCGTCTACTACCGCGTATAAATGATTCCTGTAATGTTTCGAAGTTCACACGTATGACTGAACATGGTTGGTTTACGAGACATTTTGGGCAATTGCGTGTCACATTAAATTAGGGGAATTTGCACAGTCATTCAATGCGATGGATCGAATTGATGTTTGGAGCAGTGATGTGAGTTAATCGTGATTTCATCTAATCAGGCTTGGATAAACTTGCTTATATTTGCTTCTGCTTAACGATGCTTGTTCATGATAAATTGGCCGCGTACCGTCTAAACTTTACACGCTTCCGAGGAGCATTGATCGTAATTTATCGCAACGTTGAACGATTGGCTTCCGCCTGTATAAGTTATTAAGAAATATCCGAGACTTCGAAGCCTCGTAGTGGTCACTGAGTGGCGTAGAAAATTTTGTTTAATCAACATAGTATTTGGAATTGTCGTGATGGTCGAGAAAATTATGTTTATTAAACATTTCTTCTCGAAGATACTATATTTTACAATAAAAATAGGTATTGATTTTGATTGAATATTTTTTATGATTTTTATATCGATTAAACTTTTTATATTTGTCACGAAGAATACTAAAAACTTTTACAATTTCACGCCATC